TGTGTGTGTGTGTGTGTGTGTGTGTGTGTGTGTGTGTGTGTGTGTGTGTGTGTGTGTGTGTTCAAGCTTACAGGTGCTTTTCTAACCTGAAAGCTGTCCTCATAGTCACTTTCTTTCTCCTCCCAAAGTTCACATGAATTATACTTAGAGAATTGAGGATTTGTAGATGACACCAACACATGATGAACAGTGCTGTTGGGTTTGTAAAGAAGGTAAATGCGAAATGTAATGTAAAAGCACAGCATGTCATTCTTAGCCGTTAGTTGAACACACAAAATTTGGCAGGAAACTTGAGAATAATATTGATTTTTTTTCTTTTCTTTTAAGCTAATGATGGTAGCACTCTGCAGAGGGTTAAGTGTGTATATAAGAGACGAGCACAGCTTCTAGGTCTGATAAATGAAAGCCAGTGTTGTTCTAATGGCCCGAACAAATAAGTGTGTTTGCATAGATGTCTGTAAAAATTACTTGATGCTGGCTTGATCTGTGGCCTATTCAGTTTGAGTTACTATAGCATGATGTTCACTGGGTAAATTATGAATTACAGTAAGAAACATAAACCATAAAGCAGGATATGCTTTGCTACCTTGTTAATGAGTGCAGAGTACGGTGAGCTTGTGATTTGTATTTATATACCACATATAAACGCTATTATCTACTATTCCAGTTTCAGTCATTACACGTTCTCCGTTTATTATACTGCCTAATAATATTACAAAGGATTGTTGATGTCGTGGAGTTTTCAAGGACATCTCAAATGTGCACGGTCACTTACAAATTTCTGTCAGAATGTTTATGTTCAACACTTTAGCGTTCACGCCCACGCCGCGGTGCATTTGCGTTTTGGATTCAGACCAGAACAGATTTATTCTGAAAGGCCTGAGTTTGCAGTCCAACCTTTCACTTCACTCACTGCAACATTTCTCAATTAAAATGCAAAACGCTAAAACACTGTCACTTGAAAGTCGTGACCCTCCTTTAGTCCAATTATATGTTCTGGCAGTATGCCCAATGTCTTCTAGCTAATAACACAGTTCCACAGTTATTGATGGCACACTTTCTGCAAAGATGGGATGCCTTATCTTGTAGTCGTCTAGCCACTTGACTGGTGTAACACGCGGTGAATGCTTGAGGTCCAGCATACTAATGGGCTTAAACCTTCAGGTTGTATTTTAGTTTTATTGAAGGACTGTTACCAGGCTTCTCAAGGCCAGTTTATCTTGCAGGCTCAGTCTCGGCGTTTTTGTCGAAACGAAACAGTCGATTGTTGCTGAGGGTTTGTAGCCTTGTGCGTACACGGTTATTCAATCACTCTGCCTAATGAGACCTTTGCTTTGCTATGTTGAAATTTATGTCATGTCACCAAACTCCCATAAGATTTATCGGTGTTTAATTTGTCCCACCCCGATGGTCTCGACAGAAGAGAGATGTGTCAATTCAAAACCTGGTCTGGACACGCCCACACAGTCCACACACGCCACACAGGTCTAACCAGGGTGCCCAGATGTGTGATGTGCAGCAGCACATGTTGTGCTTTGTGGGTTTTTTGGTAGTTTTCGAGCAGGGAGTTGCATATTTACGTTTTCTGTGGCATTTGGGTTGGAGTTAAGGGTCATTTTTTGCATGAATGATCACACGATCTTTAAATTTTACATGTGTGCAAATTGAAAACATGGCACACGTTAGATACAGATGTTAGTTACATACTTGCAGAAGCTGAAAAGAGAACATAGAAAACATAAAATATTAAAGGAGTTCCTCTTTCCAAAGGAACGGACCTCTGTTAAAGTCAAGCTGCTCCTCCGACTGTGTGCGCACTGGTTTCTGTGTTCGAGGCAAAACAGTAAAAATCTATTTTATTTTTCAAATTAAATCATGGCCGCTTTACCTACAGGGCGCAACTGAAACCCAGAAATGTGCAGCGCTCGTATTTCAGTGAGTCCATTCAAAGAGAGGTTAGCCTGGTCATTTAAAATCATTTAGTATAAGGCTGCTGTGTTTGCAGCTTCCTCCTTATTTCTGCTCGAAACGTCAGCCATCAGGTTTATTATCGTCTGTTTTGTTCACAACACTTTTGTCCTCACAAAGTTGACTCATGGGAAGCCTTATGAAAAACAGGTGATAGCTTCCTGCTAAGAAAAGGTGAAATAGTTTTTACTACAGACTTCAAACTTCAGAGGTGTATTTATATATTCTCTACTCTTAAGGAAGTGGTGTGCACTCTACAGCTCGAAGTGTCCTTTTCACGCTGGTAAACAGCTTTTAAGAGGCATAAAAGGACACTTCATCCGTATCGCCCATTACATATGTGATTTCTTTACAACTCGGCCTTTCCGACGTGCATTTTAGTCAGCATTTACTTCCTGTTTGCCTACCTATCAAACTGCAAATACGCCCAAACCGTAAGTCGCTGTGTGACTCACGCGCTCGCAGTCATCAGTGTCTAACCTACCGTGAAAGAAATGTGGTGTTACACACAGCTCGTCATCTTTTCAGCACGCTTCCTGCAGTAGAGCTCGTGCACGCGTTTTGTATGACTTCTGCCTTTTCGTCTAACTCCAGTCTGGTTCATACATATTTACTGAGCCTGGCTCACAGGTTGTAACAATGTCATGGATTATTGGATTCATTTACATTTTTCTAATTTCAATCTTATCATTTGTTTATAAATTTATGACTCAATAAATGTAAATGATTTCTGAATGTACTTCTATTTTCTATGCATACATGTAGCATATATGTATATTAAGGTTATTGCGGCTTTAGTGATCCAGCCCGCTCGAGATCAAACTGGGCTCCTTCTAGTTCGTTAAATGAAAACGAGTTTGACAGCCGTGCTGCAGAAGCACAGGATACTCAGCCGCGAAGCTGCATGCTTGAGGTTTTTGCAGTCTATCGAGCAGACTGTGGAACTGCTAATAAAAGTTCGAAATAACCTGTGAACACCTCCTCTTCCTCTTCCCTTCTGCTCCTGCTCTTTTATGTGTGCTGCAGCTGGATACTGAGGCGGCTGACATCCTGAACGATCTGCAGGTGAAGCTCAGCACCGTCCTGGACAATTTCAGCACCATGTTTGCTAAGAGGTAAAAATGCTCATTTCCTGGTCTCTTAATCAAGCCAACTAAAAGCTCAAGCCAAGCTTATCCTGATTGAGCTGGAACCTAACACACACACACACACAGTTGAATGACTGAGCATTCACCGCCTTTGCAGAAGTCTTTTTCCTCTAAGTTTGCCTCGGTCTCTGCCTCCAGTTTCCAGCCTCGCATTAACGGCTGCATGCGTCAGATGGCTGAGATTCTCTACCAGATGAAAGGCCCCCCCAACCACAGCACCGCTGAGGCAGACGCTGACACCATGCTGAGGCCCCTCATGGAGTTTCTGGATGGGAAGTAAGTAGCTTATGTTGTAAAGTAGATTATATCAGAGTACACCACCAGAGTGACTGTCCTAACTTGAATGTACTCTTGAAGTTTTAAGTCATTAATTTCATGGATTAAATGAAATGTGTATTTCCATTAACCCAAATGATTTTTTACTTTCTGCGAGTTAAAATCGATCCAGCTTGGCGCTACCGCAGTGCTCATAGGTAGAAACTTCCGAGACATTTTTTTTTTACCTTAATATTTTATGGCTGCAAGCTGCTATAACTCATATGTGTGTTTTTTGTCTCATTATTTATTGGTACAGAGTGTGCTGTTTTGGAATCATATGACCAGTATTGCAGTACGGGGGAAACATAGATTCAAAATATGAGTATGCAAAGTGATGAGACAGAGCAAAGGCTCCAGCTGAAGGTTCAAGATAGTGACTGAAGTCACCGGAGACACTTGTGTTGGTGGAGCAGTGTAAACAGATGGCTGATGGAGTCAGGACGACCCAGATGAGGTGGAGATGGAAAGGACGAGCGCTGCACAATAAGCAACCTTAAACACAGAGACATCTCACAATGAATTTAAAGATCAGGGAGTCACTGGCTTGAAGGGCAGATAGATTACTGGGTAAGACTGGTGACATTCAAATTTTGAATGAGGGGAATTTGAATTGGTTAAAGCTCCAGCAACACTTGTAGTATATAAAACAACTTGACCATCAACCAGCGTGTGTTTGTGTCAGCTTGTGGCCTTCATCGAAGTCGTCGTGTGACAAATTACAGACAGCATTTTAAAGTACAAACGTATGGAGTAACAGGAGGGGCCTGTTGGTAACAAAGGGGCGTGTCCTACAGTGTCTTTAAGCTGAACAGCGTCTGCACCTTACAGTATAAAGAGCCTTAAGGCGACAACTGTTGTGTTTTGGCACTTTTAATCCACTTTTAATCCACTACAAGAGCTTATTAAAAAGAAGTTGATGTAAAACATGTACACAGTAGAAAAGATAGACCTAGCTGCATTCTTTTAGTGGCCACCAGGGGGCAATACCTGTGGATTTAAGTAGAAGTCTGGGAGAACAGCTGGCTGTGAGGTCTTGTAAACACCTTCCTGATGACTTGAAGGTCTCACTCATATCAGAATAAAACATTATAGGTTAAGAAAGGAGGATTATCCACCGTTTGCTCGTTGGTTTATGACTGAAAACAGATGAGTCGTTAAAAAATGACCATGCACCCCAAATCCCAAAACTCACTACAATATGCTCCAGTCCCTCAGAGACCCTCAACTGGACAAAGTGGTAGAAAGTCGATGGAAACAGAAAAGTTAAAATGCTTCTGTGTTCATCCTGAGAGAATTATCATCACTACCTCTGATCAAATGAGCTGAATTCTTTACTCTGTTTCATCTGCTCGCCTGAACTACTACAGGACTCAGAGCCTTTAGTTGCTCCAGGCTTTGGAGGACACTTCCACCAGATCTCCAGACCATCAACTTTCTATTTTTAAATTGCGCCTCAAAGTCCATCTGTTTAGAACTGCACACCTCTCAATATAACATGGTTATTAATGATATACCTTATTATTATTATAATTATTATTATTATTATTATTATTATTATTATTATTAAATAAAACAAGGAGAGATTTAACAGAAACCCAGCATCATGACATCTTAATATGTTTCATCTTTTTGCGTCACCTGATCAGGCCGTATCTTTGCTTCCATAGCAATCAAATTATTTCGATGAATGAGGCCTCAGCTATGAGACATAGCGTGCTGTTCAATCACAACAAAAAGATTTTTTTAGCAACATTGATATTTGCTTCTTTTCTGTTTCACTGGAATATCTGGATTTTTTTATTTTCATTTTGAAGAAGCCAGATGTATCCTTTGTCATCATGTTCGTGTTAGTTTTTCTTCGTTAGGGTTCATTTGTTTTTGTGTCAGTCTTTTGTGCAGCACACAGGCACAGAGTGACACGGTCCCTCACATTTTTCCGTGTTTGCTTGTAATCCAGTCTCAGTATTTTTGCTGACATCTGTGAGAAGACGGTGCTGAAGAGGATCTTAAAGGATCTGTGGAAGATCGTCCTGAGCAGCCTGGAGAAGACCATCGTGCTGCCTCAGAGCAATGACAGCTTGGTGAGCACATTAACCAGCACAACTGAGTGGCCATCAAAAGTCCAGCGTTTACATACTCATGAGATTACTCTGGGGACAGTAAAGGAGATGGAAAACACACACACACAAGGACACATTTATGAAAGGACAACCATCTAGGACAGTTTGTCCCAATTTGTATTGATTTCTCTTTTAAACTTTTTTGGTAATATGTCTGAGACAGAGTTGTTTCTTGCTGGGGGTCAAATCTAACCAAATTTAGAGACAGTTGTATTTATTATGTTTTTCTGTCTTCTCAGCATCATACTAATTTTCCTGAATGTACTAAATTAGTTTACAAAAATAATTTTTTACAGAAAAAAAACAAAGTAAATAGAGTTTACAGCGAGCTTATACATGACCATCTTTAAGTGTGATGCAGTGTGCTGCAGATGCAGCCCTGTGTTGCCATCTAGTGTCCGACATCAGCATTTTTACAAAACGACTGCTGCTGTTAGATTTCTTTAATGTTGCAGTAATAATGAAAATTTCATATATTCCGCCTCTCTGTCTTTCTCTCTGCAGGGAGCTCAGCTCCTCACAGCAGCTAAAGGACTTTCTAACCTCAAGGTAACACACATAGTCTGTCGATAAAGGGCGTAGCTGCCTTTATGTTTCATTGTAAATTCTTATTACAGTTCAATAATAACCCTGCAGTTTGAATCGTAGGTAAAGTCAGTAAACCTGCACAAGTCGCAGTACATTCAAATCCATTTTACCACCTTCACAGCTCATAACTGCAAACTTCCAGACTTTCTATAATAGTTAGCTGTAGTTATTATCCAGCATCAGGACTTACTGATGTGTGCTGTGTGCTCATGATCTGGTTTTGTGTATCTGTGATGTATAACTTCTCTGACTTCTGTAGGGAGGAGGTGAAGCCAAAACCCTGACGCCCAAGCAGTGCATAATTATTGATGCAAGCCTCGAGTCAATCAAGGTAGGTGAACACCTACATCTCTTTTACAGCTTCATTTTTCCGTCTCGCTGCCGTATTTGAAGTGCCTGGATGAGTTTAGAGTTTAGAAGGAAATTGTATTACTCTTCATTACTCTTCAGTATTTTATTGAGATGTTCCTCTAAAGTGAGCATTTCCTCACTTCCACCTTGCCATTTCCTTTCCTTTCAGCAATATTTCCACGCGGGAGGAAATGGGCTGAAGAAGGCGTTCGTCGAGAAAAGTCCTGAACTGGCATCGCTGCGTTACGCCCTCTCCCTCTACTCCCAGAGCACCGATGCTCTCATCAAGACCTTTGTCACCACACAGCACTCCCAAGGTGATCGCACACACACAAAGTTCACTCGCTGCACGCACAGTGTGGATGGTTTTTGTCTTCTCTGTGGTTCAAACCTTAAACTTTTCTCCTCCTCCCTGTCCTCTCAGTGCATGATGGGATGGGCATCAGAATCACCGCCAATGAGAAGATCAGACCTGATAGGGGTAAGTCTTTGATACAAGAAGAACTCGCTAAACTCCGAGTAAAATAGACCCCAGGAGGTGGAGTGCTCCTCAGCATGAATCAACACAGAAACAGAACCAACACCTTCACACTCGTGTAGAGCTGGAGCCCCTCGCAGCTCACAGTTAATATCAAAGAGGAAAATAATGAGAACAGTTTGGAGAATTTTGGAAATGTTGCTATCACAGCGATGAGCTTTAATGAAAGGTCCTTTTGCACCCTTGAAACAAAGCGCGTGCCTCCTCTCCTCCTCCCTGTATTTGACTGGACTTTGGTGATTCGCTGTTGTTGGTGGTGTAACATTTCTGCCACCCAACTCTCCATTATCAGCTTGTGTGGAGATTAAATTAACAAGCTTGCCCAAAGCAGAAATAAAGAAATGAAAATGGGTCACTGAAGCCGCCATAAGAAGTGAATTACACAGTGAGTGAAGTTTATAGATGTGTTTAATCGCGTTAGTGTGTGATACCGCTCCGGCTGTGTCGTGCAGGTTCGGGGGTAGATAAGCCGATCGGAGAGGCCTTGCTGCAGATCGACATGCTGCTCGGCAAAGAGCGCAAGGTCAACGTCAAAGGTGAGACGCACGCATACAGATGTGTTTAAATCACAACAACAGACCTCGTCTCCACACGGAGCAGATCTGTTCAAACATTTGAATTTAAACTTATAGCGAGGAACAAATCTTGACCAAATCAAGTAAACTTGGGGTGAACTCGAAATGCTTTCTTATATCTTCAGTAGTTTCTTATCATTTTTTCACTCTTGTGTTTGTAAATCTACATGCGTGCATGCAGTAGCATCACCCCCACTGCTTTGTGTTTGTCTCTCTTGTCCTTTTTCTGCTCACCCTTTCTCTCATCTCCCCTCCAGTCATCGCGGTGAACGACATGAAGTGGCAGACGTCTGGGATGTTTCGGCCTTTCGTCGACGTCTCCATGGTCGGTCCATTCCTGGCTGACAAGAAGCGCAAGTTCACCACAAAATCCAAGAACAACAGCTGGACGGCTAAATTCAACGAGGCTTTCCAGTTGTGAGTTGGAAATCTGAAGCGCCAGCAAGTAAGATTGTTGAGTGGGTTGAGATACCGCAGATGGTTAATTGTTTCCTCTGCTCGCAGCGTCCTGGGTAAAGAATCCCCGGACTGCTACGAGCTGCAGGTGACGGTGAAGGATTACTGCTTTGGACGGGCGGACCGGGTGGTCGGCGTGGCCGTCGTTCAGCTGCGCGACGTGGCCGACCGCAAGAGCTGCGTGTGCTGGTGTCCTCTCGGGCCACGCGTTCACACCGACGAGACGGGCATGACGGTGATGCGTATCCTGTCCCAGCGTCCTGCTGACGAGGTGGCCAAAGAGTTTGTCAAGCTGAAATCGGAAACTCGCCCCGCGGAGGAAGGCAGATGAGCCGAAACGGGCTTTACTGAAAGCGAGGTTTAGAAGCGCGGCTTTGTCTGTGAGCAGCGTTTCACCTTCATCCTTAACTAACGGAGACCCTTCTGACTGATGACGTACGAGTTTATCATAGTTGGAATAAGAAAAATGGATTTGTTAAAAAGGGCAAATTTTGAGGAAGAGATCGTCTCTCAAAATGTAAAAAAAAGACGTTTCCAGTTTGCGATACCAGTCCTGTCAATGGATTTTATATCAGACGATGACTTTAGAGAGAATCACCGATCCAACCAACCCTACGAGAAAGCTCTCAGCAACGACAGAGACAAAACAAAACTCTAAACAGGAAGAAACTTGTGAAAACGTTCTCAGGAACGGCAGCTGTGATCGTTTCAGGTGAAGGGAAGCTCAGCATAGCATCTATCCAGTTAACTTTGTTTTTTTTGTGGTGTCATTTCATAATTTAATATTTTAGTGAGTTAATCTGGATAAAATCATTCTGACTTTTAAAAACCACCGAGATACTTGACCACGTGACACATTTTAAAACTAGACCTGATCAGTAACCTCTGAAGTTTAGCAGCAGGACGACAGCTCAAACACTCCCCTTTCACTCATGCATCTATAAACGACCTCCCTCTGTTTTTTCATGACTCCAGGGGCCCCTGCCGGCCCTCAGTGAGGCCGACACCACTGTAGGCCTAAGTCTTTGCTCACCCTCCATAAACTTTGTCTAAATGTGTTTCAGGGTGTAGTCCTTGCTGGTGAATTGACTGTCTGTTGACTGTGAGTATTACACGAGCCCATATTCTTCTATAATGTTTGAGCCTTTGAGGCCTTTAAACTCTTTACAGACACCGTGTGTGACTCTGGAACAACCTCTGGATCCAAAACCTAATGTCATGAAAACACACTACAGTGAACAAATGCTTTATTTGATTTGTTGCAGAAAGCCGAAACATTTAAGACTGATACACAATTTAGTCGTAGACAGAGTTGTAACTGTAACGCACATATGTTTATTAACACAACTTAAGAAAGGACTAGTCGTCACACAGTAGTCAGGCTATGCATTATCCACAGAGTGAGCGTCACACATTTGCAGCCAAATTTAACAGTGTGAAATATTGTGATACAGCGTCAGATCCTGATGATTTGCAGGTAATTAAACAGGAAATGCCTCAGACGTGTTTTTCCCTTCGATGTTAGCTTCAGACTGATCTATAGAACCTGCAGGAGCACTAATACGGGCTGTGGTTTGATTTTGTAGCAAGTTTTTATGGATTGCGTTGCCTTAAAATAAGCAGATGAGTTAGCTAACGAAGCTAGCCTGCTTTAAGAGACTTGAAATATGACAACACTGACTTGTAAATTAAAAAAAGTAAAGATGTTATTCAGAAGCAAAAACTCTGACTGACTGCTGGGCCGTTGGGTGTTTGAGGTTTTGATTTAATGCTAATTTGTGATGGTGACAAAATGCTGTGAATGGAAACAACAGCTGAAAAACCCTTTTAAGTGTTACGTAGCGTGAACACGAATATAGGACCAAACATGATCATTCCATTTTGTTTACTTTAATAGTTTTTACAAACTAGGACAGATGCAATCAGCCGCCGCAGCCTCGCCGCGCGTGCACCGTCACATATTTGACCGTTCTCGTGTTTCCAAACACGAGGTGGCATTTTGCATTAACGTAAAACTTTGAAGGAAAATACAGGCAGAGCAAACAGGCCGGTTTGAACGGACTGACTGTAAGCGGCGGTTTTTTCCACCCTCTTGTCTGTTTATGTGCCAAGGACCTCCGTGTTCAGCGAGCCTCATTCAGCTTTCTCTCATGTTTCGGGTTGTATTTGACAGATGTGGCCTTTGCAGACATCCCACTTTTTACTTTTCCAAACTGGCTGCACGAAAGCAACTATAGAAGTGAGCCACATCTGTAGTTACACCCGAACTCTTGCACTCTGTTTCACTGTAAGTTTGTAAGAAATGAAACCAATGCCTACGTCCAGAGCATGTATTTATTGTAAACAGTCAGCTAGAATTGTGATTTCCTTTCCCCCATGTATGTACTGTGACATATGAAGACTGTATGTAAAGTACTTATCATTATTCTAATGTGACATATGTTGAATATACTTGTAACATTATTTTGTACATAAAATATTTATGAATCAGCCTCGTGTCTTTGGTCACAGAGCTCGCTGTTCCCGCTCAGCACGGCAGCTCCGGTCAGTGATTCCTGCCTGACCTGAGCGCCACACTCGGTTGCACACCTGCTCTCCAGGTTTAATCTTTCCGTCTTTGCAAACACACACCTTCAGTCTTCATCACGGTAACTGGTTTAGCTATAAAAATTCACAGAAAAAAACCAGTTTAAACTAAAGAGCACGAACCACAAGGCCCCCGGGTACTGTGGGTGTTCTGGGGAAGCGGTGCTTGGGATGTTTTGCGTGGATTGTGCAGGCTCTATTATTCTGGGTACTCAGAGACTGTTAAGGGCACTGGTGATTTTAAATGGTTGTGTGCTGGATAAGTACTTAAAGGTGTATTGCATAAAGTGCTGTATGAATGGGTGGGTAAATGTAGTCTAAATGACTCAAAGTAGCCAGTAAGACTACAAAAGCGCTGTATACATGCAGGTCGATTGTGTTTTTGTCTGATTTGTAGCTCATCTTTATGATGCATTAATACTGTAATCCTGCTCAGCCGGTCGTTGATGAACATACAGTCAGGGAGAGCTGCTCATTTAAGTCTGAATTACTGTTTTTTAATAATTTGGAAGAAATAAATAACGTCGAGAAAATAACTGACTATTCCTCAGATGTCACAGCACAGAGTTTACTACACGTTCGAATGACCACAGCGTGAATCATCAGGTGAGTAATACTGCTGTGGTGTTTGATTCTAATTTCCAGGTGTTTCACAGTTACCTTATGTTGATGCTTTTTTCTGGTTGCTTTAAAGGTAATCCACAGGTGACAGGGAAAAAACATGAGCCCAGACCTGAATGACTGACATCTACATTCACTTCCTTTTTGGATGCCTTCCTTATTTTATGTTACATTTTAGTAAAAAATAAAAATAAATTTGAAAAACTAGTTTATTTTTCTTAATTTAACAATTATTAAAAGATTTTTGATCACGTTCAGGAAAATAACCGGTGAAGCAAATTCCCAGAAGAGAGAGCAGGTCATCTACTGATCGGAAGGTTGGTGGTTCGATTCCTGGCTTCCCCTAGTCTGCGTGCCAAATATCCTTGGGTAAGCTATTAACCCCAAATTGCTCTCTGATGCATCCATCGGAGTATGAATGTGTGTGAATGTTACTTAGAAAGCACTTAGAACAATGTGCTTGTGCGAATGGGTGAATGTACAAGTTGTGTAAAGCGCTTTGAGTGTTCAGAAAGAAGAAAAGATAAGAACAAGTCCATTTACAATTTACCATAGTGTCACATTCTGAGTTATTACAACACTGCCTGTATCTAAACTCTGTCCAGTTTGGTTTTTACATTTGTTTTGCATCAGTATAGTTTTTGGTCTTTAAATCTGTGAAGCATCAATGTTGGAACGTACCATGAAGGCTTCAAATCAAACAAAACAAATATTACAATTATTCCATTTTTATTTCTGTACAGCTGTGTTAGTACAGCTTTGAGTCAGACTAACACGATTCACTCACTGGAATAGCAGGAATAATATATACTGTATATTTTACCAAACAAGAGGACTTATTATATTCATTTCTGCCTTCATATTTTTAGTCTTGGACTTAAAACTTAAATATTAAATTATATAATAAATTACATTAATGCAATTCTTTGAAAAACATATTCAGATGAAAGCGTTTTGTTTTTTTTTGTGAATGCAAGTTGATTGTTAACACAGTCATGTGAAAAAGAAAGCAATGAGCTCAAGCGCAGCAGCAAATCTCCAACAGAATGCTGAAAAAGAAAAGACTCGTGGTGCTGCAATGGTCCGGTCAATATCCAGACCTCAACCTGACTGAAATGCTGTTACAGGACCTCAGGAGAGCTGTGCATAAACCAATACCTGCAAATGTCAACGAGCTGAAGTAATGACGGTGCTGAAGGTGGTTCTATGAGCTACTGAATGACGCGATTCTTAGTTTTCACTGCAGAGTCCTGTGAAATGTTCTTTTTGACATGACAGTGTATGTTCAGGGAAAGCGTGATCACTAGAGGCACAGCTGGTAAATGATGAATCAAAAAAGGACAAATAGCACAAAATTTAGTGCATTTTGCAATAAATTCAAATATTTAGAGTTTTACTTTCATTTTACTGCATCTACTCAGAAAATGTCTATAGAAAATACTTCCTTGCACATGGACAAAGTTTGATACTAATTGAACATTACTGGTTTCAGCTGTTTGTTTACACCGTATCACGCTGTGGTATAACCAGCTCATTTATTTGGTGCCTGTTTGAAACACCAGTGCTGAGTAAAGATAAAATGGGCTGAAAATCTGGGATCCGTGATGTCTGAGAGGAGAGTGGGTGGAGTTTCTAAATAGATGCCACATGAATACGAGTCACCCAGCACTGAGATATAACACTATTAATCCACACGACATGTTCAAATCAAGTATGTCAGGCTGTGCTTTCTGAGCGGCTAAACATCGCTGATCTGATGACATCATCTTTGTTATAACTGACTGTCGCACTCCACTTCCACGTGGTCGCCAGACTTCCCGTTGTTCTGCGCGGGCTGTAAATGATCAGGAAGCAGGACCTCAACACTGTAGCTGATGCGTTTGGCCTGGAAGATGCTGTAGGTGTTGTCGAATCTCAGCACATCTGTGGAGGACAGAATGGAGTATTTAGACAGTTGGGTTTAACATCACAGAAGCACTCGAACACAAGGCCACTCACAGACTCCTGGACGCTCACAGGTCAGTGAGCCGTCCTCGGGTACTAAGTGGGCGTTGTATCGCTGACTGGGCACGATTTCCTCCATCTCAGCCGCCTTCTTCCATTCACCCTTTTTGGCCTTTTGAAAGACCCCAAATCCGATGTCTCCACCGTCACTGGCAAACTGCCACCTAACAGGATGTAAAAATGCTTTGAATTAGCAAAGCCTTTATTTTGAAAGCTAGACTGTGCTCTACAGTGGTACGGACGTTAGCCGTGGTTTCTCACAACCAAGATGGTGATGGCAGAAACGCTTGTCTCGAGGCTACACAATGGGACTTTAGAAACCAGTGAATGATGTCACTATGGTCTCACTACAGCTGGGAGAGGACGAACTACGACGGGGCACATTCTGCCCTAGCAATAAGTGGCAGCTCAGGTTGACTGGGACCCTACTCGCTTGATTTTACGTTGTCAGCATGACTGTCACATGTTCAAAATAGCAAACCTAACTTTGTTCTGTTTCTTCTTTTGTCACGATTCTGTGCTTAAAGTTTAAAGATGTAGCTGATTTAATCTTCCTATTTTTCCAGCTGTAGCTTGAACAGAGACCCTTTTGGTTTGTCGTTTGATTTCTTGTGATATAAGTGAACGGAATAAGATCATTTTAAAGATATAGATTGATCTATTTCTCCACGCTCCAAAAATGGATGGCGTGCGTCAACCTTTAATCGCACAATGAATGAAGTGAGTGACTTCACAACAAGCTGGCGTGATGAGCCATAATCATATCAGAGCTCTGTGGCTTTGAGTCACGCTGTCTCTGTAATGATTCTTTTTAAGACCTCTTAGCTACGGCTCATCGACTCCACTCTGAGAAATTTACAGACACTATTCTTTCTACAGGACCTTTAATCATAGACTCTGTATGACTTTTATCACTGACCTGAGAACGCAGCCGGGGAACAAGATCTCAAAGTCCACTTGCTCTGAAGAAATTCGGCTGATGGTCACAGACTGCTCGTAATCCACCTTCACATGGTCGCGCACGTAGTAGGAGGGAGGAACTGGTCCAACATGGTTTATCTGCAGCAGAGAGTCAAAAAAAACAGGCGTCAAATACTCACATAGACAATGAGTGAGAGGTTTGAGAGCAGAAAAGTGAAGGAAAGAAGAAAAGGCTTCACTTACTGTGCCATTATACAGCTATGAAAGCCTGTAAAATGTCTAGTTGTGCACAAAACTGGTAAAAATGTTATAAAGGAGCAACGTGTTCTCTCTTTTCGGTTTTTCTTTTTATTCACATAAAGTCAAACCAATGATGTTCAGCGATTTCCCATAACAGTGCAATACAGGATGCAACCAGCAGAGGGCAGTGACTTCCTGGTGAGACCTGAGCTGCCTGTATTGTTGATTTAATGTCCATCGGTCCAGCAGGTGACGAGCAGGTTAACAGCACGAACAGACAGACAGAGCTCCCAAATGCAGGTCGAGGTTGAGAAAAGTGGTTCAAAGTGTCCTGTAAAGTTTTCAGCTGCTTTTGGATGTCAGCTTTATTGTGGAGGAAGTCAAACTATTGTGTAACCACTTCTCTAAAAATCTTGCAGACATGAACCTTTAGGTGATTTTATTTTATGACTGCCACAGAAAAACGAACAGGTACAGAAAAGAAAGGCAGAGGCAAAGAATGAAAAGAAAACTAACAGCAAGTGAGAAGAACATCAGTCTGATTCATTTACACAGTTCATACAGGAGGAAGAGTGACGGGGAAAAAGCCCTGTGAGGTGCATAAGGCGCTATGTATGTTTCATTTTGTTTAAAGTAGGTTTTTAAAATGAAGTAAATTTCTCAGATTTGTGTCCCCGACCACTCGGCTCCTGTTGGAAACAGAAAGTTGCATTTATCGATTTTCTCTTCTCTCCTTTTACACTCGTGTTGTTCCAGAGTTTTATTAGTAAAGCACTTAATAATCTTGTTATTTTAAAAGCTATATAAAAATGATGTTATCAAAGCTGTTTCAAAGCCACTAACTGTTTAACAGTACCTGAAAATAACGAGGCGTCATATCCAGAAACAAATCGGCACAAACTCTTAAACCTTTCTGGTTAAACACTCGTTCTGCAACACAACTACACTGGGCAGCACAAGTTCACACGTGGACCAAAATCAAAATAACACAATAGAAAATCAATGACACACAGCTAGCTAAAGGACAACTAGTTAAACACACAAGGTTAAAAAAAAGAAGCAAAACATTTGAGGCTGAGCGTCTGTTCCCTTCAACGAAGTCAAAATGAATTTCTCTCGTTCTGTTCCTCATCTGTTCTCGGCCCAATTTTTTATCTACAGAAACAGTGACAAACACGGGTCAGTTGTGTCACCTGGAGCTGCGTCTACGGCTGCAGGACTACCAAAGCTGCTGTTTTCTGCAGGGTGAGGCCACTACTCACTTCACAGAACATCTGACATCTACTCAGCAGGGGGGGAGGTTTAGCTGATTATTTTTATTTGCAGGTCTGCAAACATATTATTGGTCATTCATTTTAGTGCAACACACAGGCCCTTTGTATTGTATCAAGAAAGATCTGCTGAACAGTTTTTTGTGTGTGTGTAGCTGTATTGATTTATCCTGCAGCAGGCAGCCAGTCTGGAATAGCCCGTTCATCGTCAGTGACCTGGTTCATCCATGTGTAACAGGATCCTCACACACAGAGCCAGCAGAACATTTTATGATTCAGTGTTAGTAGCCTGGTGGTAGTTTGTTTGGCTGTAGCAGGAGGTTATGTAAAACATAGGCAAATGTAAATCCCCAACATATTAGCATGATATCAAAGCACAGGGGAAGCTG